TTAATGTATAGAAACAGATGTGAATGCACTGTCATTTTTGATATCACTGCAGCTTAAGACCTAGCAAAGGAGATGAGAGAGCAACCCAGATCTCAGTGCAGTTCAGCTGCTCAAACTGCTCCAGGGTTTCCAGGAGACTTTATTGCTTGTGCCGAAGCTGTCATTGAGCTGTCCTTAATGGTGGTCATGGTGATGTTAGCAAAAATAGGTAGCTTTGTTCTCTCCGTACCATTTACAGCCTCCTAGTCTTGGTATGGCTGTATTCAGTCTGTTTACTGGCATAATAAAGTTGCAGAGACAAAGCCCTTAGAGGAGAATAAGAGAGCACTGAATTTTTTTTGTTTTCTCTAAGTTGTTTTTTCCTTGAAGAATTGAGGCATTAGACTTGGAAAATGAAGCTGACAGGCAAAGGAGGAGGTAAGGATGAAAGAGACAATGGTTAAAAGAAACAAAGATAACGCTTTATTTCTTGAATTGATCTACTAAATTCTAATATTTCTTTTAACTGAGAAAGTGGATTCGGGTAGGTAACAACCTACCTATGTAGCAGTCAGCAGTTGAAAGCAGAGAAAAGAATGAAGGCTTGAAGTGACTGGAAGGAGGATGAATACGTTACACTTAGCTTGTGTATTTACATCTCACCTTTTGAAAAGATTCTGTCTCTTTACCAAGTCAATAGAGTATGTCCTTGATGTTTTAGCACTAATGATTCAACAAATCATTTCCTGAATATAAATGTGCTAAATATTTTCTGGACAAGCGCTTACCGCAAATGTCACTGAGGAGTAGAAATGCACTCTGCATGTATTTTTCACCAAAATAGCTCTTTTTGACTTACTTGTAAAAAGGTAATTCCTACACCTTGGAGGTATATAATCGCATTTTAATGCCCCCCATTCTCTAATGCTTCTTTAATGATAGGCATTAAAATGCGATTATATAACTCCGAAGTATATAATAAGTCAGTATTTTATTGTTCTATTACATTACTTTCCAGATTACCTACTTTTTATTATCCTATTGCAAATTTTTATTATTCCTAACGTTAAAAGTCAAGTGTGCTCCATTTTCTTAAGCCCCACCATCTTAAGTCTTAACACTAAAAATCCCGATGTGTAGTTTTCCATTTGTTTTCCAACTATCTTAATTGAAAAGATATTCAGTCCAAATCTGATTATGTATGCAATTCCTTCCTGAAATGCAATTTATCTTTGCCTTAATATCTCGCAAGTATGCACACTGGCACAACTACTTCACATTCAAACTCTTCTTGAAAGCCCTGTCACTTTTTAACATGTTTTGAAATGATGTTCTGTCAAGATGTGCTTTGAAAGCCTTGTTTCATTTTAAGCTAATGAACCCTGAAGATTTGTTAGACAGTTAATGGGAACCGAGAAACAAAGAGCATGTATTGTTGGCTTTGCACAGAGAGCCTGTATTCTGGGTTTAAGACAAGAGATGTGGCTCGGCACATGTGGAGTTGCTCGAAGGAAGAATACAGAGGGAAGACTGTGCACTCTACTTAAGGTCAGGGTAGGGAGCACAAAGCATTTAAATCAACCACATTTTCAGCATTGTGAAAGGTCGAAGGGTGAAATAGAGTGGTTCTGTTCAGTACTCATATATTTACATCACTTGAATAGGCAGTTTGCCTTTGTTGTAGGTAGATATAAATTAGATCAAGTAGGGCAACAAAACCCACTAACCTTAATTTCCTTAAGAATAAAACAAACAAACAAAAACTGATACATACAGGGAAGAATTGTAGCTTGGATTACAGATTATCTCTTCAAACCTGGCCCCATCTCTGCCAGCCTACCTTTGCTGTGTGTGGTGCTTGGAACAAAACATCTTTGTTTAAAAGTTAAAAGTGGTCTGACTTCTTCCATGTGTCTGGAATCTGTAGGCTTTTCCTTCTGTATTATATGCTCTTTTTATCTTTTTTTTTTTTTTTTTTTTTACCTTTTGTGATGAAATGTCTTACTCTCTTTCCTTAAAAAAACAAACAAAACTGCCTTTGCTTTAGGTTTAAACTTAATTTTGGAGCATAGTTACATAACTATGAAAGTAAAGGTAACAGTTTCACAATGATTTTTATTCAACTCAAACATTAGTAGAGGGCACTGCTGTAATGTGATAGGACTGTTTTTCTCACTTGTATCAAAAATAAGCCAAAAATTCAACATGGATTAATCAGTGTGTTTTCCCCTCAAAAATAAGGGTTCTGCTGGCAGTGGAAAAGTTTTTTGTTGTTGTTTTTTGTGTGCATGCTTTTTTATTTAAACTGAATTATATTTCAGTCATATTTACGTTGACGTCTTTAAAGCTTGCATGCCAGGACTGCCTATCTGAAGGCTGTGATAGGTAATAAAACACCAGCATTTTACTAAAACAAATTCCTTTGGAAACTTTTGTTTTCCATGTATTCCAACATATCTCTGTTCCATCTCTCTCAAGTAAGCCAATAAAATGCCAAAACTAAAAAAGAAAAAATCCATGACAGTTGTTGAAAGAACAGCTATATTAATCTTCTTTTTGCAGATAACAGTATTAAAAATATTTCTTGCAGCTTGATTAAAAAGTTGCTTTGCTTTTGTGCTGATGAGCACTGTAGGTCCTGTTGCCTAGAGAGTACAGCTGTGCTAGCAATGTCTTAGAGAAGGGCTGTTGAAGAATATTGCCTGAAATGAGAAACAGCTACAACTAAAGGAAAATCCTCAATGGGTGATGCAAAATATAAAAGTTCATTAGACCTATATGAGATAGATAGTAGAATAAGAACTGATGACAGTTGTAATTGTTTCAGAAAAATGGCTATGATGTACAAATAACACATGGTAATGTATTACCCTTTGATCTGTTTTTTTGGTTGTTATTACTGTTAATGTTTGGAGCACTGTAGTTGCTTGATCTTTCAGTAATGGCCTACTGAAAGGCCTACTATGGTACTGAGATAGTATGATTAAGCAGGGACTGACCTTTTCTGTTGTACCTGAAGATGTAACAAAGGTAGCTTTCCTCATTGTGCTGCTGCTGCATTTTCTGACATCTAGTGGTAATAACTGTAAATTATGGAAAGACTGTTAATAGGAATACTATCTTACTAGCAAATAAGTTTTAGTGGAGGGATGAAGGCAATCCTACATCTCAACCAAAATGCATTTAATTGCTAATCTTCCTAAGGATTACAGTGAATGTTTAAAGGAAAAAATATAAGTATTTTTGCCCTCGTACCATCCTTTATTTGAGAAAGAATAAGAAAGTGTTGTCCATGACCCTCTTATAGAAAAGCTCTGTGGGATAGGAATGGGTTCTTTTGGTCACATAGCTCTGATGCAGAATAACAGAAAAGTTACAGAAGATAATAGAAAAGATGAAAAAGAGGTCGGGCAGTCACAAAACAAATTTTTCTGCTGATACAGGTATTACTCACCTTTGTAAGGATGACTAGAAATTGCAGAAGGATAACATGAGAATGGGCAGTGAAATGTCAGATAAAGCTAATTGTAGATTGATCTAAAGTGATGCAGATGGAGAACTAGATAGTGTACATGCTCTTTCTTTCACTTCCAGTACAGAAAACATTATGATACTAACTCATATTTAGGCCATGCTCTTGATAGTGTCTGAAGTTTTTATCTCCTCACTGTATCTCAGAGGCGCAACAGAATTGAGGTAGCTTCACCAATGGTAAAAGGAGTGATCGAAGTCTGGTGTCTTTTCCACTGTGAGAACTGAACTGAGCAGGTTAGGGCTGTTCAACCTAGAAAAGGTACAGCAGAATGTGACTGTGATAGAGGTCTATGTGTGTGGAGAAGGTGGATGAAAGGATTTATTGACTACAAGAAGCAGAAAGGAAGGCAGGAGAATGCAGCTCAAAAAATACGTAAAAGGAAAGAGATCTTTATGCCACGGGGTACAGAGCTCTGGAGCTCCCCACTGATGCACACTGTGGATGCAAAAAGTTTCCAAGGCTTTAAGTTCTTGAGTGATCCAGGGGGGTTGCCAAAAAGGCACCATCCAGCAAACCAAGTCCTAAGCTGCAGAGGATACTGGGAGGGTTTTGTGGGGAAGTATCTCATGTTCTGGCCCTATTTTCGCTCATCTCTTGGCCTCCATTTACAAACTTGATTGAATAAGATAGTGGGCAGGTATGACCCTTAATATCAGTCAGTACAGACATTCTTCTGTTGTAATATTAATAGGAAAAAACAGAAAAACAAGGCTTGAATCCTGAATAATGTTAGGGAATGCACTGTTATAACCTACAACTTAAAGCAATACGTACATGCAAAATATTTTTTGATTGAAGTAAGATCATACATAACTTTATAAAATCTGTAATTTTTTGTTTTTATAGCATTAATGTTTCAAAGAGTAGCTGACATTAATGAATGCATTTTTAAGTATTTCAATTAGCATGTTTTCAATCAGCTTTCATATAAAACTCATATTTCTAATGAAACTAAGTTATATTAAAAATACCAAACTAAGCCTAAGGATAGAATTCTCCCCTAAGCTAAGGATAAATGCAGGCTTTACTATGAAGATGTAAATGGTACATAAATTTTGTGTAGACTTTCAACAGTAAAGAACTTCATCCTTACAAATTTTTTTTTGCTTATACTCACAGCTCTTGATTTTTTTTCTTAGATAACTTCTACTTACAGTATGCTTAGATTAAACATAATAGGATGTAGTATGATAAGCCATATTTATGTATCATTTACTAAAAATTCCCAAACCCAGAAATACAAGTATTTTGTTTAAAAGAATCTACATTATGGAAAACAGAAAATTCAGAAATGATACTGAAGTGATACAATTATTGATGATTCTTATACTTGGTCAGATAAGGTGTGCATCATTTCATATTCTACAGAAAAAAAATGTTTACCTTATTCCTGTAGAGATGTATATTCACATATATTCTCAACCACCAGCATCTGCAAATATTACACTTTCTCCTCTTTTTTTTTTTTTTTTAATCCCATATGCAGGCACAGGAGAAAGTGGAAAGAGTACTTTCATCAAACAAATGAGAATTATTCATGGATCAGGTTACACAGAAGAAGACAGGAAAGGCTTCACAAAACTTGTTTACCAAAATATATTTACTGCCATGCAAGCTATGATCAGAGCCATGGATACTCTCAAAATACAGTACACATTGGAAGAGAATGAGGTAAGAAGGAACAAAGAAAGTAGTAGTTTCAGCACAAGAAATTTCAGTTTGTACGGAAGTGGTTTGAGTCTTAACTTGTTACAGCAGAACCTTAAAAATCCACGTGTCCTGCAAGGAGTTTCCTGCCCCACAGTCTGATTATCTGGAACAACGGAGGGTTCCTGTTGAAAACAGGGCTCTGTGCAGGGTGAGGGGGGGATGAAGTTGAGGTTGGGTAAGGAAACAGAAATTTCAAAGTTTCAAGTTGGTCATACGTAGAAAACAAAATTTTAAATATGAGTTATAGATTGTATGTGACAGTAACATGCACAAAGCCTGGTTTGTCAACAGAGCTCCAAATTGAAGAACTTTAGAAGTCTTATAGAAAGACGTCAGATCTGTTGGATGCTGGTATACATAGAAACATACCACTTGGGGCCCTTTTATAACCTTTAGGCACTTACTAGCCTGAAAATGTAGAATGCCTTTTCCAACTTTTTTTAGTTTGAATGTATATGTCATTCAGTTACATTTTAGGAGGTGTTCTTTAGGGGGAGGGAGGTTGGAATGTAGCTCAGTTTTTAAGGCTTGTCATGTTCTAAAAAGTGTTTATTTGCTCAAGTATCATGCAGAATATGTAAAGCAAATTATTGGGACGTTTGTTTAACTTGAGAGGGAGCTGCAGATGGCTAAGTTTTGGTGTTGCAATAGGGAAGATTCGTCAAGGCAGAACTTAATAAAATTTATTCATTTTTTGAAGTGATATGAGGAAAACATAGTTGACATCATACTTTTTGTCAAAAAATACCATCACCCATGGAGAATATAAAAGTTGTGATTAGGCTTCTTTGATTATTTAAATTGATTTATACAGTACATTCTGTTTGGGCTAGAGAAAAGGATAAAAGATAGTTTGCTGGATAAAATAAAGGGTTGCAAAACTGATGGTGGTGGTTGTTTTAATCATACAAAGAACACGTAGTGCCAGCAAAAACAAAGTTGGATTTGAGAGAACCAAGGTATTAGAATAATTCATTCCTACATAGGAAGAATATTCTCAGGGTTAATAAACTTTTCTTCATAAAAATACTTCTAGCTTCTTGGGAAGAAGGAGCAGAGGGAAATGGAAAATAGATCTGTGAATATGCTTCTTATTTTTTAATTTTTTGGACATCCTAATTCAGATATGTGGGCTATCATGAAAAACAATGATAATCAGAATGTACTTGTAGAAATGCATTTGCATTGTCTCTTACTGAGTTTTTGGGTTTTGTTTTTCTCCTTCATCCCATTAAGACTAATATAAAAAGACTTACTCAGCAGCCAGGTTTTTCTCATTCTGGTGTCTGAGAGTCGAGCTGGAGTCTTTCCGTCTCATCAGCCCATAACACAGTGTTCTGGCCTTATCGTTTTCTTGACAACAGCTGTGATGGCAGTGTCTTCAGATTTAGGAGATTATAATGCTATTATAGCTGTTGGTGAAAGGCAGAATTTGGTCTGGTGTTTCGTTATTAAAGGTAATAGTACTAAGTGAGAAGAACCCAGTTTGGCCAGCTCAGCTTTGGTGACAGATAGAAAGCAATCATTCTGCTTATACAATGATAAACTCGAGACACAATTTGATAATAACCACATATAGTTCCAGTCACTTCGTAGGAAACAACTATATTTTAATCTTTCGTTGAGGTGATGAATAGAATGTAAAGTGTTATCAATTGTATAATTGCCTTTCATTAAAAGCTTGCAAAGCAGGTAATGCTAAACAGTTAACAGGAACAGTGGTAAACACCATGGTTCGCATTTTAGGTGTAAGCACAGAGGAATTGTGATTCTGGTGTCATAACTGTGTTGTAGCAGTGTGTCCAGTGATCACACTGAAGTGTCCAGTGTGCTCCTCTGTGCCTCATTATCTCAATTTTTCTCCCTGACAGCCCTTCTGTTCCTTGAAGGATTCCTTTTCCTGTGGCCCTTCTAATAACTCTTCTGCTTTTCTTGTTTCCAGTTTGTTCTTTGACTGGTTCAGATTTTCTCCTCTCTGGGCCCTGAAATTCTGAGGCTGCTGAATATCTCTTGATGTAGTGGGGTTTTTTGTAGCAGAGAACAGATCGTTCTGTGCTGAGTATCTCTTCCCTGTAAATATGACATCTGTGCAAATCTGTAACTTATGAATGGACATAACGTCCAAATACACCTCTTAATGTTTGGAAATAAAAGCAAGCTTTATAGAAGGTCTTTAAAGAGGTTTCTTGTGGCTATTGTCAGATACAAGTATTTAAATACATAATCTGAGTTCCTACAAGTGCCGAACAGTTTCTAACTGCCGTGGACTGTGCCACATTAAGGTGGGTATGGTTTTGGGTGGTGGTTGTTTTGTTGGTTGGTTTGGTTTTGGTTTAGCTGCTTGGACAAGCTGCTCATCTATGTAAATGTATACACACACACATGCACTATATGTACATGTATGTATGTGTATATACGCACACACGTGTGTATATATGTGTGTATGTGTGCATATATATGTACATGTGTAAAAAATGTATGCCTGACATTTATCTTATTTTAGGAGTACTTTTTCTGGGCAGGCAGTTTTCTTCCTAACTGAGATTGTATGCTCTTTTGCATACTTTGTCCCATCTTCAGTTTGGAGTTGAAAGGTATCATGGCATATTTGGGGTATATTTTAAGCCTAAATTCTGCAGATGATTAGGAACCTAGTTATTCAAGGAATAATTATAGTACTGTTTGAACCCCAGGGAATATAATGTTACTTTAATGGGAATATCGAGGATATCATTTGTAAATGGTATTTGAATATTTTTCTTATTTCTTTTTTCTTACAATTTACTCAGATTTTTGGTTCAATACTACTTCTGTTATCAATTTAAAAATTTTGCTTTGGCACTTAACGTACGTTGCAGCATAGGAGGCAACTTCCAATCATGAAAATTGAAATTAAAGAATTCCTGACACCTGTTGATAAATTAAAATATATTAAGTTACATTTCTAAAAAATTATTACAAAACAAATGGCATGTGAAAAGAATATTTATTGTGCTTGCTTATTTAAGCTTTACTTATTTTACTTCAAAAGGCAAAAAGACTAATTAAAAAAATGAAAAAGGCCATAGTATTGTTTATGTAACATAATGTTGTTTATGTAACAGTAATGCCCTGAGGATTGAAAATTATCAAAAGTATATATTTTTTCTTCATTCTCTTTAACAGATGTATTTTTGCCTACTCATTCTGAGCACTGCTTTTTTCATGGTTTATGTAGATTTTTGGGATGTATCTATTATTTGAAATGATTTTTGTGCTATTTAAGACCATGAAACTTGTTGCTAGAGGCGAACTAACTGAAAAGAATGCACATTTATTGTCTGTATGTCAGTTTTGCAACGACATGAGATGGAAACTGTACAAAACTGAGTATTGGTTGGATATCTAGTTAGAGTACAGCATCACTTGTGCTTTCCATACCGTAATAGGAACAGTCAAAAAGCACGCCTGAAGTTAATGGCAGCCTGTCTCTTGGCTTCTCTGGGAAATTGTGATTGAGCTACTGTGAATGTTAAGGTTTGAAAGTGGGAATAAATGGAAGGGGGAGTGCACATGTGAGGAGAGAAATGAGAAATCAGTTGATAGCTGAGAGGTAATAAAAGCTCTTTTGCTTGCCCCAAAATTTTTTCATCAACTTACAGTCAAAGGGAATGGAGAAAAAAAAAACTTGAAATAAAAGGAGGAAAAGATTGGATGATGTTGGAGGAAGCAAGGTTATAACATTCCATTTGTGAATATGTATCAGTCTTCAAAGGCAGCTTTAAAAATATTTCTGAGTTTCTTAAATCTGCTAGTCAGTCACAATTTGCTGGACTAGATTCATTTTGCGCTATCGTAAATGTATGGGAGAAACAAGCTAAGCCTTGACTACACTGGATGCATTTTAGAATACTAGTTCACCAAAACCTTTCCCTTCACTTCTGAGCTAACATCTATCCTATAGCCTATGTAAATCACTCTCCTTCCTTTCTCCACATATGACATTAGAAGTTTCAACTTATTTGCATTAAAATATTTATGTGCATGTGTTTATATGTGTGTATATATGTTTAGGTATACACACACACTCTTAGCCTGCTGGGAAGATCTTTTTAATATAACTGTTTACCATGAGGATCGTAAAATTGGAATGCAGTCCAGTTGTTGTGGATTGCTTTGCTTTTTAAAATACCCTGGTAAGATGACAGTACATATGTTTGCAATTAACAGCAGACCTTTATGGCAATATGAACAATGATTTTTTTTTTCTAAAGAGAAAACAGAGTACTGTAAAAAAAAAAAAAAAAAAAAAAATTTGGAAAGAAATCCTCGTGTTGTATCTTCAAAACATTGTTTGCTTTTCATTAGTAATAAACTACTATCTTTGGATCTTACAGATTTTCCCTGGTATGAGTGTTAGTCGTAGCAAAATTAACATTAGTCTGACAAAAAGAAGTACTACACCGCCAAAAATGAATTTTACAGGACAGGTAATTTGCTACCTCAAAAAAAGTGCAATGCAAAAAGCCAAGGATGGTAGGATGTGACTTAGGAATTACTGAAGGAACCCATGAAACTGGGGCAAATGGAAAACAAAGTAAAGAATAGTTTCTGGTTGATTCTTTGGATGGTTGCAGTTGATGTGGAATATAGCAAAACATAATTCTTCCCTTTCTGCAAATTTTAAACCTTAGTAGAGAAACCATTACTCATGGTAGATGCTTTATGTTAAGAGTGATCCGACTGTGACCTATTTTATGCTCTTAGAAGTACCTTTTTCTTACAATCAAACTTAACTTTAAAGATTTTCTACTTCAGTAATTGTGCTAGCATTAATGCAGGTGAGAAAGGATTGGAATTTACAGGCAATCTTGATGTATTTTTAGCAGTTTACTTTAATAGAGATACTAATTCAAAACATTCCAAAATATATTGCATGCTCATTCATAATAGACATGTTAAATCTTGGGTTAAAGCACAAA